CACATGTCGCTCTGCGGGGAGTGATTTAACACGTGTGGAGTTTCTGGTCGCTGCTCTCCGAGGGAGGAAATGTCTCTCCTGCTCTCCCCTCGCTAAGCTGAGTCTCAGCCCCGGCCTTGGCCGCCTTTCCTTTCCCAGCTGGTGCAAAACGCAGACAGGGAAAACAGAATAGGTGGAGGAGCGGAAAAGGCCTCGTAGGGATGGCTCAGGTTTAAGAGCAGCGAGAGGGAGAGACAGCGAGCGCCGGGCTCCTGAGGCTGAGCCTCAAAACTACTGGCAAATGTGCGGGAAGGGAGGAGGAGAGCAAAGGGCTTGTGGGTCCCTTTTGTGCACCAGCTCCCAGACCGAGCACCCAAGGGTGCCCACCCAGCCTGAGCAAAAGGCTTTGCCTCTCTGCTGAGCCTCTCTCTGTGCCTGTCCTTGTCCTTCTGCACTGGGTCAAAGAAAGCTACATGGCCCCCCGTGCTTGGCCAAAGATGCTTTGGACAGCAGCACCCTTGGCCATGCCAGGCTGCTCCCCAGGGGCACTGACCCCGGGGGTAAGGGGATGATGAGTGCCTGATGGCTGTGGGATGCTATGGCCCCTTCCCGCCGTGCCAGCAGGTCTCCCCGGCAGCCGCAGCCCCGTGTCCTCCCACCCCCCGGCAGAGCACCCTCCTTACCCAGGTACTGCCCTTTGCCTTCGCGGAAGGGGGGTCCCAGGGGTCCCTTTACCATGGGCTGCATGTACTTCACTTGGGCGTAGCCTGCCGCGCCTCCTCCCGCTGCTGAGCGAAGGCTGACCACCATCACCACCACCAGCAGCAGCGCCGCGGCGTCCGGCAGCATCCTGCTCCCCACTGCTCCTGCGGACAAAGCGACAGTGAGAACGGGCACCCACGACCCCCCCTCTGCACCCTCCATCACGTGAGGATCAGCCGGGAATCCGGGAAGGATCCCAGCGGGAGCCTGACTCCCTCACTTTTGCCTTTTTCTGCACCACAGGTGCCCTGAGCACGTTACCCTTCCCGACACGCGCCGGCTGGGAGATGCACAATGAATACACGGTCTATGAGCAATAACTAACCACCGGCAGCCAGCAGAGCCTTTCAGAGGCTGCTCCAGTACCTGTTTGTCTGGGGTTATGCCCATGTGAGGCTTCCCTTCTACATTTTTAACATAGATGGGGAAAGAAAGGCAGGATGAAAACCACAGCCCGCTGAGCTGAGCATTGCTATCACATCTCTCAAGCGCGCAGGGTCTCCTCTAACAAAAGCCGTGTGTGCTCTGGCCGTGGCTCCTGCGGGCACCTCAGGCTGCCACCGCCGAGCCCTGCC